GACGTACGTACACGACTTGAATACGATCGCAACAAACTAAATTTTATTGGCCGACAAATATACCTGGCCGCTTGTTACAAAGCTCAGAAACACCCAAATGTGATTTAAGACGCTCAACACAAATATTGAAATACGTCTTGTTGGTGTAGAGGCATCTAATTAGATAGGCCTGGACCACATTCAAACTGAATAGTAATGAGTGCCAATTGGCCTTATGTCTACCTAGGACAAACATATACGAGCGCACTACATGTTAATTGATACGGCGTGCTGATTTACTTATTTGATTAAACATGTTGTCACTAATTTGTAACATTTCGCTGACAAGTTTGTTCGTAATTTTATTTATAAAAAAAAAGATCCATCAAATTGTGTAATTCCTATATTGTATTAGTGACTTATCCCGGTTTTGCATGGGTTGATAGGTAGATAAACAGCAGATTACCGACAATGTAGCTTTCTATAAATGAAAGAATTTTTTTTTAGATAGATAGTATTTAGTAGTTAGTTGTTTTTTTTTTTGATGGGTGAAAATGGTATGGTAACCCCGCCTGCGCTAACAAGATACGCTGGCGGAGCACCAGTGAAAGGTGATAGATTAGAATGAAAACAGGCCAGTTAGCCCATCATGATGAATTCATCAGGAATTAACCATGATAGTTTCCAGGGAGAACCGCGAGGAGGTCGACCTGGTTGAGTATATTGCTAGCACAATGGGATTCTCAGTCTCCATTACTAACAATCCCTTTCCCCCCAGTAGTTGTTAGGTACAAACAAAAAATACACGGAGACTTTTTACAAGTCGTTTGCGGGTACATCTGTCCCATTCGTATTTCTATTGTAAAGCAGTTGTATTTGCATGACTGTGTTTCGGTTTGAAGGGTGTGCTCTCATTTAATCCAAAAAACAAAAACGTATTATGCATTATGCAAGAATTGTGTTTTCAGTTTAGGTAGATCTCTATAAAAATATTTTACAGTGAATGTAACGATTTTAATATATTTTTTAATTAATATTATTTTATATGGAATATTAGGCATTGGACAGTGAGGGTTAGAGTGATTTTGCAATGTTCCTAAGCATTTTTTCTAAACACTAGGCTTTCTTAAAATCTAGATTAGATAAAGAACTATTTTGAGTCATTTGTATTTTAAGTCGTCGATTGATCAAGTGAGACTCCATCATTTTCAAGTATGCGGTTCCGATGCTTGTCACACAAGCAACCAAAATACGAATAAATATAGCACAACTTCAAATAATATTGAAAGGTTTAATTCAGGCTACAATTTATATTCAAAGAAAACAATATTACACAAAAAAGAATTGTAGTTGACATAAAATGTAACCCCAAATATAAATAAAATGGGAAGCGAATCACGTAATTGCTAGTAAGCAGTGTGTTTTGATTGCAAATATAATACTTAATGTCATCGTTGCCAACTGTTTGCCTTACAAATTGTATTGATTATACAGATATAGAAAGTAAACAAGCCTGATAATGTATATTACCCGCAAAAATCTAAAGATTATACGTGAAATAAAAAAATTGCCTAATTTATACTACTGGTGACATATTCTACTTCTTATTAGATGGTGGCGATCATCATCACTGTCTTAATTTTGTCAACCGCTATTTTAAAAATACACTAGAAGAAGCTTTTTATGCATAAGGTCCAACGTCTGCCTAGTCTTTGGTAATTCTGTAATTTTGCCTGTATTATTAATCACTGAAGACGTGTTACGTCATTATAACGTTAGAGTATCAACAGGTTTTACTTTTTTATCCATTCTTCAAAGTACTTACGGAAAGTTTACATGGAATCTTCTCCAGATATATGCATCAATGTCTATGATTTGCGTAGAATATTTAGGGTGCGACTGCGCGAGGGTATCGTTTGCAATTGCAATGTTGTTTTATGCACGGATGACTGTGTTTGTTCAACGTGCCGCCACCAACCACCCCGCGAGCTTCCCGCTATAAAATTATATACAAATGTCAGTGACGACTGTGAGTTCTAAATTTTCTTTTGCTTTTAATTTTTTTTTTACCGTAATGTGAGGTAATTCTAAGGGAAATATATATGGCATTAGAATAAAGAGTAAGATGTAAATACGATAGTTAAAGCAAGTAGATATTAATAACCAAATATATAATATTAATTTCATAATAAGAACCAAAGAAGTCATGATTATCGAAAGAAACTTCATTGTTAAATGCTTGAAAATAAACTTCATTTAATAATCGTTGAATAAAGCCCAAAAAAATTAAATAAAGTTTATTACATATAAGTTACATTTTTAATTATGGCATTAAAATGTATTATTAAAAAATTAAACAAATTAAGAATTAATGACCTCCTTATGTAACCTTGTACAGGTTTGATACCTAGGCCAATTTAGGAAATGAACTTTTTTGTAATTGTGTCCAGTCTGAGCATTCAGGGTTGAGCCCGTAGATGTTCGTTGCTTAGTTTCACGTTCTAAAGTGATTGTATGGCGTTTATATATTAAATTCTTAATATAACATAATCACTTTAGTAAAGCACCGAACATAATATTTCTCTTATAACCTTCTGCAATGTGATCTATTTGTTGGCTTCTCAGATTTAGTACTTTTCCGTTATTCTGTGAATACAAATTGAAAAAATACACGATAGGTAGCGTCACCGGCTTCGTCCCATGCTGAGGTCAATAAATTGACAGCGCGAGCAATTAAGTATTCTGCGAGTGAGTATTGGATAAAATTAATCGAAGTTCGGATTAAGGCCACCGGGCTTTAATCTGCCCCGACGGTATCGGGGCGCGGACTTGTTATCTGTTTAATGTCTGGTAAACAACGGGATCAAGGGATAAGGAACGTCCTTTCATACGGCGCTGGCCCTCCGGCGTCTGGATTAGTGTGCCTTCTACTGGCGAAGATTGCTCTTCACGTATTATATCCCGCAGAATGTATGGATAGGTCGTAGCTGATATGCTGCCTGATTGACGTCATAGTTCTATTATGTTTCTGTTAAAGAAAAAATGTAATTAATCGTAATATAGTATTCTCGTGACTTCTGAACCTTGTATATAATCGCGACAGTGACATTTTGGATACTGAAGGTATTATTCTTAATCTATTCTGATAGACAATTATCGAATGACAAATATCGATGATGATGATAATATACATATATTAAATATAGTACTTATCTGCAGTCCTCTTTCTTCGTATGTGCCTATATAGCAAACTTGTGTTGTAGTTAATTGTAAATTTATCACAATTTTTGCAGTTAATTCTAAATAAGATTCGTCCCGTGTGTATTGTGGAAATATAAACGCATATAATTTGATATAAATTTGTTATTTATTTCCACGATCCATGATGAATATCCTCTACAGTTTCTTTAAATATTATGGACAATAACAGCTATAAATCGAGATCTCTTGAGAGAGATTGTAATGACCGTTCGAAAACAAGTACATTTAATTGTGTAGAAAACAGTGAGTTCAATAGTGTCAAAATAAATAGATGAACGACGAGATTGTTCGTAAACATGTTAGATTGCAAATATTTAAATTTAGAATGCGTGTCGTATGTTTACTAGCGAATCAGGTATGCTTTGTGAGAAGTAATTTTGTTTGCTTCGTAAAGAAAAATGTCAGCTTAGCCTAGCCGTCATAATGTTAATATGAAATCAACACTGGAGTGAACACTTTACATTGCAAAAAGAAATGAAAATTAATTCAAAAATGGTTACGTAATAATGTAACAGAACACTAAAAATACCTTCTTTTGGAGTCAATATAATTCGCTATATCGGGTAAGCGATTAAGTTTTATGTTTATATAATAGTTTAAATATAATTTATATAATAATATTCATTACATGTTTTATTTAATGTGAGGTAAAACTTTAAGTTCTATTAGTTATAAAATTTATTATATTGTTTTAATTGCTTTACTTTGAATTTATAAAAAAATATACATTTATAGTCATTTACGTTAGAACATGTGATGTGCCAAATGGTCATTATGAAATTGCAAAAGATATTAAACTAAGTTATTGTTTTTAGATATTAATTATTATTATTTGTTAATAAACAAAAAAGTATTTACTTACATGTGATTTTATAATAAATGAAAGTGGATAGGTACCGTCCGATCGATTGCATAAAAGCAGTTACTATAAAATAAAAACAATTTTTAGGCCAATAATCCTTCTTAAATGAAGATATGGAGTTACAGAACCCAGTAATATTACAGGCGTACGCTCTTTACACTGGTAAGCAGCCAGTAGTAGGCAACGGTTGCTTTGTGGTGAGACAGTATGTTGGGTAGAATACATACTACCCTCGTACAGTATTTTGAGTAAAGTATTCACTACTATAATATCTGATATAAAAACTCTTATTATCTGTAGGTATCTTAGTAATAGGATCTTGTAAAATTACAACCTTTTTGCTAGTGGTCTTTCCATTGGTTATGTAGTAAGACTTATCTTTGTATTTTACAAGTGCAATAAAGTAAATTATGCTTATTATTATAAGCGCTAATACTAACTTTATTAATTTCTTAAACATTACTCATTGATGATGGTCTTAAAGATATTAGATAGACCCGTTTACAAATTTATATCATCTATCATATTTTGAAGATAGGGGGTCAAAAGTTTGTAATTTTGACTAAATTGATGATAAAACTACATTAGTTTGAGATTTGATAGGTATCAAATTTTATGAAATGATGAAGATATAGTTGTTAGGTATCCTTGATTTATTAAAATTCATTACTAAAAGACATTAAAACAGATGGTTAGTGGAATAGCTCAACAGGCTTAACTGCGTAATCGTGGCCCAACTATTGGCGAACTAGTAATTGTCCACCGGAGACGCCTGAGTGCGCCGCCTCAATCGGCGTCGACTTAAGACTCCATGCAAATTCAATTTCGTGCCCAGGCAATCCTACACGTAAGGCCAACCGAACATATTATTGCTGGATTTATCTTTATTGCAGCCGTAGAACACTCGAACTAACTTCGACTGTCGAACTTACGCCATTAGTGAAGACACCGAGATACAGGATTGTTTTGGTAGGGGCGGAGTTGTAAGTCTTATTGCTTTTAGTACCGACGTAGGGCTGGATTGTTTAATCTACGGTGTATAGTTTCAGAATTATCCTGGTAGTTTTTTTTAAAGAAACTTTGTATAATACGTTGTTACAGAACAGTATTATGCCACTATGTGGATTCCTATGTTTACTTGGTTACCATTGAACGTGATTTAAGTACGTGTATGTATGAAATTTTTTATGGTACAGTATCTATATTATTTACGTTACGATACACGACTGAAACTTAGTGAAATAAATAATCTATATCTTAGTTGGTGTTTATGGTTAAATTTTAACATTAGATATTTTTATAATTATATAGCTTGGACAAAGATTCGCTTATACATTCCTGTCTTATAATACACGAATAATTCTAATAAGTGATAAAGCACAGTAATATGAATGTATTATTATTTATGTATTACCTATCATTAGTGCCCTAAGTAACAGTAATGAAAACATAATAATTTTTTCAACTTCATATTAAAGAAGACTAATTTTTTATAAGTAGGATAATATAAATATACTTAAATTACTCTAAAGCGTATTATGAGGATTAAAATTAATTAACTGTTAGAAATAATACATTCGTTTAGTATACATAGTACGAGACTAGATGGCGCTGTGTAATATGTGCGAGAGTATTTATTTATTACTAACTTTTTGCTTGCTTACGTAGTACGCCTGGATTTAAGAAAAAAAAAAACCAATGTAATAGATTACTACTGCTATAAAACCATTAGGCTCATTTAGTCGCCTCTTACGACACTTATGGGAAAGGAAGTTGTGGTTCATTCTATGCCGGAACAACACGGCATTTCTTCTGTTCTAAAAAATAAATAAATAAATAAAACCCCTCGTACAACTTTTCCCCTAATATCTCACATATACAGATGTCGTATAGTTACAATTTTAATATATTAGTAAAATTATTTATTGATATTTCGTTACACACTTATTTCTTAACAGTTCAATTTTACCGGCTGCATGCACTTATGCACTCAAAGGTAAAACGGTACCTTATTAAAATAGTACCTACCTACACTTATAAAAGGCAGGATGTTTACAACGCTGATGATGTCAACATGAAATTAAATTTTAAATAAAATAGCGCAACAAAAAGATCACTAAAGTACATCGGTACTTCACTGTTATGACATAATACGCGTAATAGCAAACCATAATAGTGGTACTATACAAAAAGACATCGCTGCCGGCCTCACAAAAGTAGATGTCACAAACTAATCCATCCGTAAAATGTCCCAAATCACTACAAAAAAAAAAAGATACGCCCGACAAAAGTGTTGTTGTATAAACGTAAAATGAAATTTAATAAACATACGACAATGAATAGTCCGTAGATATTTTTGCGAAGATTCAGATAGTGAATGGGAGATAAGCTGGCAAAAGGTTTGCAGTGGAAGCGTATGTTTGATGTCGCCTCTCGTCGCCGAAGCGTGAACGGTTTAAGAGCAAAATTGCAGAACGTCGAACTAGTGGCATCTGTCAACCGTGCACCCACTCTGCACAAATAGATACTTTTAATTTCGGAGATGGAATGTCAGTGGACGCTGGACATGGTGGTGAATAGACAATAAAAATACTTTGAACAAACGATACGCCATAGCCAAGAACATAGACCTTTAGATTTATATATATAATTATCTGTAGATAAAAATATTATAGAAGCAGGTAATTTTTTTAAATAATAATAATAATAAGTGCCTAAAGGAACGTATCTATATTTATTATTTTATTGTTTACCTATGTCATTAAAAATAATTTTCAAATGTGCAATCATAATAAATAATCAAGTGCAAAATAAGTTTTTAGAGAGCATAGCAGAGTCATTAGCGTTAATTAAGTACTTAAAAATATAATTATGCAGGTGCATAAATATCTTTAATGTAAAAAGTACTTTAATTACCCCAGTATATCTATTACTTTACTGATAAATTAAAATTATGGTAACAATTTAATTATGACACCTAAATTTTATACAAAATAGATATTTATGTGTGAATCTTAACAACATATTGATGTTCCATTGCTGAGCATAGGTTTCTCTGCTTTTAAGATGGCGATATAATCTACTATCCTCAGGCTGGCCAAACGGATTGGTATTTTTTTTATACAACTTAGAATGACAAACAAGCTAACGGCCCACCTGATGGAAAGTGGTATCCGTCGCCTATGACATAAGCAGTACCATGGACATAACAGAGTATACTGTTTTGCCCATGATACCCTTCATGTGCTGCCATTCCTGAGGACTCAGGTGTTATTCCTCTGTACCCTGTAAATGCACGCCATATCCCACCCTTCAAACCGAAACACAGCCATCCAAACACAATTACTTTACGGTTGAAACACGAGTGGGACAGAGGTGCCCAAGCAAACGACTTTTGTACAAAGTGTCCCTTTAGAGGTTTATTTCTATTTTTCCTTTTCTTGAACTGGTGTATTGTGTTTAGTATCTAGATAATTTATTATTAGTTTTTATCTTAATTAACACGGGTAAAGCTGCGAGATACAGCTAGTTTTAAAAATATACGTGCTTCGTCGATGTGCTGTTAAATTTAGAAGGTACTTAGATACCTACAATCAAATGTATTCAATAAAATAATTAATTTCGTCGAAATCGTGCAATCATTCCAGAAGTGTATTAGAAGATAAGTATCAAACGTTTCTATTTAACTTCTCTTCCGAGCGGAAATTCCCCGAGCGCCATATTGAAATGTTTATAATTAAATTACATAAGGACGAAGAAAATTAATTTCACAGTGCAAAGTGGTGAGCGGCTCGCGCCTCGTGCCTCGCTCCTTCACAAAAGCGGAGCTCTACGGAAGCTCGTCTCAAAGGCGAGGCGCTACAGTCGCTTGGCGAATTTAATTTTCCAGATGTTTTTGGAAATTGCTGGGGAGTTGAATAATCACGTTATAACTTAACGGTATTAAATTTTATACGTTAAAGTGTTAATATTTCATTTCCAAGTTTAATTTAATTAATTCCAAAGTTAGAGCCGTACCGATGAAGACAATGTACAATTTGCGGATGAGTCCTGAGATTTGTAATTGAGTTTGGACTAAAATCGAGTCAGACATTAAAGTCTGTGAAATAGTATAACAAAGTATAATTGCGTCCTACGAAATTATATACTGAGTAACGATATGTTTAAATAGGTTTATTAGTATGATGATTTGTGGTAACAGTAAACTTTGGATATTAATAAAAATAATTGACTAACTTAACAGACTCTACTTAAAAATACGATAGTTTATTTAAAAATTATGATGGTTTAATATCTTGAGATATATCAGTAGAACGCCAATCGCGTATACACAAAGCCTTCAGGAGGCGGTAGCTCGCTCCGCGCGACGAAACAAATTGATGTACCCAAATAATTATTAATGCCTCACGAAATTTAATTGGAAAAGTTGAATTTGTATCGCGCTCACGGCGTAGGTGAGCGATTCGAGTCGTCGCGAGACGCCGCCGCTGCGACTGTTTACGAGATAATTAATCTCAAAGTATTTACGGCTTTAATCGAGGCACTCCCGACTGATGGGGAGCGAATAACTCTCGTATGTAATAATGTTACCTCGCCTCCCACCTTGATACAGTTTTGCGCATTATGTCATTACTTTACGCAGGCGAGGTAATAGATATAACTGAGGTAAATTCTTTATCAAATATATTAGTATACAGATATATGTACATAATACATAATTCATTTCTGTATTTACAGGCTTCTATTATTATTATTCTATTGTATTAATATCGTATTATAATTATCTATGTTTTAGTATAGTACCTAAATATTGTATATGTGGTATGTATGGGCTATTGAGGTTATGCATAAACTAGCCGTTTCCCGCGGCGTTACCCGCTTCTAACTATGTAGTTCCCATATATCATTCCCATTGGAAATCTTCATGAATCCGGTCTTATATTGTATTATATACTTTAATGATAATGGTACGTACCTAATACTTTCATAAAGTTGCAACCAATTCAACTGATCCGTTATTTTATATGTGATAATATATAATAATAAATTAATACACGCGGATAAAGCTACGCATTGTAGGAAATTTAGAATGTTAGTAATCATTCTTATTACTACAGCAAAAAAATCTTACATTACATTGCATTACAAAATGAAAAATTATACAAATAACCATTATCATTCTAAAGTTACTTGAATCTACTTAATTAAGTTCTTCTATTCGCTAACAGATGTCGCTAGTTGTTACGTAAGTAATATCTTGTAATGTGTAGTTCCATCGTTTGCCGTAGAAGAACAGCGCCATATTTTTGTTACATCCTCAAATATAAAGTTTTATGTTAGAAATATATAACTTTTAAGCAATATTTTATTAATTATTTATAATAAAAAAGTATTGCCACAATCCAAGAAAATACATTCAATTTAAAGTGTTGTTTTGAGCATTAATTTGCCGATGTTACGGTTGTAAGTAGATTGTTTGGCGTGGCATAGCGCATGGGCCGTTTAAGCTAATTAACAATAGATCGACTAACTGCAGCAACAATGAAAAACGAAGAATAAATGTCAATTTCACAAACGTAGAGGAGGGTTCGGCTTTAAATCGAATTCCGTTTAATAATAGTAGCGCTTTAGAGTTGAATGCACTCTTGATAGTGCGATAGTTTATTTTATTGTGTATCGTAGTGATCGCATATTGATAATATAAACGTATACTTGTACATTAATTCAAATTCCCCATACAACACCATACAACTTCTGTGGAGGTATTTAGTTAACTAGACGACTTCTATGATAGTAAATATGTTTACTATATACATGGTATGACCTGAATATGGGTTTCTACTCTTATTTATTATTTTAGAGCCTAATATGTCTTTCTAAAGGAATATAAGTAAGTAAAATTTATAATTAGAAGTAACGTTCATGCTTATTAATAGTAGATATCAGTATGTAGATATCTTAGTAAAATTACTCAAAGCACTGTCAAAGTAATAATTATGTATTTGTAAACGGTATTGTGTAAATGGATAAAACGACGATGAAATGAAATTCCGAATTTTTGGAGTCAAATTCGTGTTTTTGTTCATACCGAAATTAACCCCGTAAATAGTGCTTAACATTTCATTTGTCATAAATCCTACCATTCAAGTCCAAAGGAACGATATTTTAGCATTTATAATATTTTATTTTAACATCAAATTTGTGTTTCGTTCGGACCCGAAATTTCGGAAAACATTTTGTGGTAGGCCCTCTGGTCTCTTGGTCTATCGTGACGTATTTATTAGAAATATACAACGATGGTTTCTTGGAGGGATCGCGTGTCATTCTAATAAAACTAACATCCCAATTAATAATATTAATAATGTATCTAAAGTACGTTCCTTTCCATTCACAGGATATGTACAAGAAAATTGTGCCTATACCTTTAATATTAATAAACAATGCTTTATAATTGAATTTAACATCCGGCAAGGCCAATAAGTATATGTACATATATGTAACCACATATTAAGAGCAGTTTACTGTGTGTGGTAACAGAAAGCCGTCGGCGAGAATTGCTACCCATTTTTTAAAAGGCTCTAACCACGCAAAAAATGGCTGTTTAGCTCCGAAATAGAATCGGATGAGACCCCTTGACCGTGGCGTCCGATTAAGATCTACTCAGTGAATCCGCTCATTTGAACCATAGAATGGGTGGAAAATGGCGAAAATGTACGTTGAGGATGGAGAGCGAGCACAGTGTCGTAGGATTACTAGTTAATCGCATTCGTTTGTCTGATATTCGTTTGCTAATTAATCTGTCAATTGTAAAGTGATTGATTCCGAATTTTTTTATGCAACAGAAAATTGCTTAACGTTTAAAGTTGTTATCATACTGTGCTGTAACTACAGATGCGAGTAGCAACATGGATATCGTAGAATACATTGTAATGCCCATTATATTCCTCACGCGTTGTTATTTATGATTACTAATTTGTTCTGCCTCCATACTTAGTAAGTAAATAGTATAATTTACCATTCAAATTTAGTATTGCAAAACAAATTTGTAACTGAATTTTATGCCAAGTCATATGTTTTTTATCGGAAACTTATAACCTGTATGTATAATCTGATGTTATAATTTAGTTATAGATATATATTTGCTATGTATACTTTTGACTATTTTGAATTTTATAGTATTTTCAAGTTTGTGAACGAATCTCATCAAATCATATTTAAGTGTTACGATACTCTTTTTTCTTATTTAATTTAATCACACATTGTTTAATTATTAATTAAAATTTACATTTATACTGTATTTGAGAGACATAGAGAAGTTACAGTTACCTAACAAAATTAGAGAAGTTTTATAAATATTCGCAAATGTAATTAAATTAAATTTGTATTACTTGTGAGTCTATATATATATAAGATTTTATTACACAAGAAAACGGTTCCTTATTTGATAAAATTAGTAGATAAAAGTTAAAAATTATACAAGTATATAGATATCGCGTAACATGTATACAGATAAAATACAAACAATAGAGAACTTCTTCTTTTTTAAGTCGGTTGAGCTTATATTTCGCTCGGAATACTAAGTCAGCTCGGCCTTATTAAGATAAAGTGTTACATTAAAGTTAACATGGGCTACAACGAGAATAATTATAAGGGTCGGGGGGTAGAGTGCTCGTACGAATGACTCGAGTATGAGGAACGACTGACCCGACCCCCGAGCACTCCGCCCGGCTGACCACTGACCCCCCGTCGCCTAGCAACCGTCCGCCACCTAATCATCATAAACAGATAACCCGCCATCTTTGATAATGTTGCACAATGTAAAAGTATTCGAATATATTCATTGTTGCCAAAAAAAAATTGTGTATAATAATTCGATATGAAAATTTTAAGGAATAGGTAAATTAATAAATAATTATTAATTAAAATGATAAATTAGTGACACCATATATTTAGTATAATAGATATGTATGTATACTTACTAAAATAATACCAAAAAATATCTAATTCATTTTGGGTTTTGAAAACATAGCTAGATAAGTCTTCTATGTTCAATGGATATATATTATTTATATTATGTGCCGACGACTTGCCCCTCATTACTTGGGAGGAATATGTAAACATGTAAGCATCTGAAATGTTTCTGGGCTCGGTTAGGCTGTACATAAATTACATTAAATCCTTATGTTTTAATAGATTAAACTTTTAATTTTAGGTTTTTTTAGAAATTATTTTAATAACGAAATAACCTACAATAAACTGTCTCACTTCGTCATACTATTTAGAGATATCTACTAATTCTTTAATTTCGAACTAGGTACGTGGAAAGTTTTTAACAAAATCTCTGTAACAAAAATATATGTAAGTGCTATGTTGATATTTATAAAGGATTCTTGTCAAAGAATCAAGATAAGCTAACAGCATTTTGGATAAGGTAATCCTTTCGGCTGAGCGTTTAACCCCCGTTTAAAGTTTAAGCCGTCTGAATTTTTAATAAATTTCAAAGAGATGTCAATCGAGTGTTTTATTTTGCATAGGGCTTAGCTCCGCGTAGGGGTGCGCGAGTACATTTCGGTGTACGTCATTTGTTTGTTTCGCGGCCGCCCTCGCCTCTCACACCCTGCATACAGTTATTGCACTTATTGTTGACAGAATATCAAATGATATTTTAATTGTATACACATTACTTTATAAGAGTATTGGCACAGTCTGCTTCGTGTGGATAGTACACACAGAAGTCATATGGATTCCAAGCTTATTTATTTATGATTAGATTGTCTTTTCTATTATTCCTTCTGTTGGTACGCAAGTGTATACGTTTCTTTGTCATATTTTTAAGGTTAAATTTTCAAACAGATTTGATTGAAAATAATAAACAAAGTAATTTGATCTCTATAGAGCAGAATGGTAGTAACGGAAAATAAATAGTTACATTAAATTCCTGATTTTAGACTATGAAATAGCATGTATTCTTAGTTAAATCGAGGGTTAGTTTAGAAAATTTCAAATTCAAATCTGGTTAAATGAAGAATCGAATATGAGACCTGTTCATGCAAATTCTTTAAGAATTCTGTTTTCACATCCAATTTACTTTGTATTATACACATGATTGCAACCTAACAAAGTGATAATCGTAATAACGTCGAATCTAACACACACGTGTATGAATAAGACAACAATTAATTATCGAATGGAATGCAAAGGGCAGTCTATTACAAGTTTAAAAGGGTAATAGATGCATGTCTTGTAGGCTATTGTCTCAGGTGGGGTAATCGCTTCCGTGAGAGTCCGGGCGGCCCGATCGTCCGATCTGACAGTTTCAATTTGTATGCCAACCATCGCAATGACCACCCCACGCGCTCTCACGCCAACAACTCATTTCACCTAATTATTATTTTATTGTCTTTTTTTTAAACATGCATGACACATGTTCCATAGTTAAAACTAGTAATTCGTGACTGTAATATTTGATCGGCAGTTCTAATCTTTCGGCTATTAATTCTAAGTGGTGTATGCACCCTGCATTGATTTAAACTTTTATAATTGTCCTAGTCTTGTATTAATAATAATTGGTTGTCGTAGTAAATAGTATTTGTTCATTATATTCTTGTCAAATACATCTTTAAAAGATATTAAAAAAATGTGTCCAGTAATCAAAATATTAACTCTGTGTGTCTTTTATATCACGTCGAATTACAGTGAATTAGGGATAAAAACACACCAGTTAAAGAGGAAGATACTTAGAAGAGAAACCTATACAAGTCTCCTGGTCAAGTTAATAGTAAATTATTATGGTGCTGATTAAGATTTCTATAGAAGACTTTAGATACATGCATACGTACATTTCAAAGTAAAACTTTATAAGTAATATGGTGTTAAAGAAAACAACTTCAGTAGATATATATGAGATAGTGCTTATGTTATAAAACATAGACAAAAATACCTTATTACGTAGAGGCACAAGAAAATTATACGTGTGCAAATCCCATACAGACAGCAGCGGTGTCTTATATGTAGAAACTTAAAAAGTATTCTCTAAGAAAATTCTAAAGATGAATGAACAAAAATTCTACATGAACTATAATAGGTTCCCGGGCGAGCACGCTTTGCCACTTGCCTATTCAGGATGTATCGATTATGGCATAGATCTAATGATCGTATCCCGATTAGGAGCACTTCGAAATACGACTTTTTATCAGTTTTCTTGCCCCAGTGCCGCTGGATGTCCGCAACGGGACGCTATATAACGGCTACGACAGGCATTTAATGTTAAAAATATTCATTCTTCATTTCCAGGCATTCGTTGATATTGTATTTGGGTCGAGCACAACTGTTAACTATTTAGTTTGTCATAATGGGATTATATTAGGTTTTATTATGTACTTAAGTTTATCTTAGCCAATCAGGACATTCATACATTTATTTGTACTAGTATTTTTGTAGATATTTATAATTTTTTTTAAAAAAGTATTTTTTTTATTTCGGAATCGGCAATGAACCTATTATAAATACGAGTATCTATATATAAATTTTAAAAAATTAATATCTCTTTTTAGATGAAAATATTTGTTATACGAATATGTTCGATTTTTTATGTAACTTTCCTTAGGAGATGGAATCAGCAATGTGTTACTATTTTAGTCTATATAGCTATGCTATTTAGAAACATTACAAGAGTAAAGTTTTACTAAATGGCGACTCAAAACGATGCTATGGCGTTTTCCAAGTGTACTGGTGGGGTTACAAACAGCTTCTTTGGCACTGTTAGAAAACAGTATGATTGCTTTAGCAAAGTTACTTAGTATTTAATTTTTATAAATTTGTTAGGTATATGGATCTACGGGGTATGCATAGCGCGTATCACATTCTTGCCATTAAAATCCTCTTTGCATTCGTTAACTAGTACTATTTAAGGCAAAATATGCGAACCAACTCGCTTAAACTATTCGCTCCGTATGATTTTCAGAAATGGCTATGGCTTATAAGCGGTAAGGACAATATTTTTATGCGGTGCGTTTTTCTCAGGTAGTTGTTTTTACGACCATTACTACATCTAAAGTAGGAAAATCCCTCGAGATGCTACATTCTCATGATGACTAGAAGGCGCGCGCGTGCGCCGATACTCTGCACTGTGCTATAGGGTTGACACGAATATTGATAGTGCTACATACTTTACACATAAAACGATAAGTAGGTATTTTTCATTTATTGATAATTTATTGATGTCTTTTTTTCAGCATTTTGTTTGTTTGTAACACTTTATTGTACAGTAAAATTTTAAATTATAGCATACAAAGTTATGAGGTAACAAACATAAAAAAATACAAACGAATTTAAAATCTCCTTCCTTTAAGAAAGGAATGAGCACAGCGGCCTATTTATCTCGTAAGAGAAATTTTTTACTACTCAAAACTTTTCAACCGCCATTAAAAAACAAGTTCTCAATTCTGTTATATTTTTTATTATGTTTGTTACCTCATTATTTAGTCAGTTATAAACGATTTGGAAAATTCTTATTTCTATTTCTTATTAAAATTCAGTTTAGTAGTTTAGTTTTTAGATCAAAATAATTGGTTTCGTCACAATTGCAGTCGATTTTTCTGTGAAATACAATCTTTAATTATTTTAATTACATATTTTAATTTTTGATTAGTTAGTTAATGTATTAAACCCAAATATTTTAAATTTCGAAAAATCCATGGTAATTTTAATGTCCCCGATATTCTTCCATTATACTAATTGTAATTCGTGGTTCGATTGTGGATAGGATAAAATATACTTTGAGTAATCCAGTGTCAAATTTTATTCAGTTCAGTCATTTAAGTATGATTTAGTAACAGATATAAAAAATTCTTTACAAACACATTTATAATATTAAAAGGATTAATCAATTAATTAGGATTAATCAATGATGAAAATTGAATTACATAAAATTGATAAAAATAACATAAAATCAGATATCTACGCTGTGCCAACCCTAATAATATGGCCGCACCCGGGCTTGGCTATAACGCTGAATAACCCGCGGTAGGTATCTACTTAGAACGAAGGTATCAATCAATAATAAATGCAACACTGTGCTTCTAACTTGCACCTTGTACACGACAACTACACAGCCAATACGGCTAACTGCACTTGTATTAACATTAAAAATACCCACACTAG